AAAACAAAAAAAAAATTTTATTTTTTTTTTTTTTTTTTTTTTTTTGGAAAAAAAAAAAAAAAAAAAAAAAAAAAGAAAGAAAGAAAGAAAGAGAAGCATAAAGTTGCAACTCAGTCTGAAACAGTAAAATACATTTTTCACACCTGGAGGTTTCCAATGGAACGTCGGAGTTTTCTAATAATATATTTATGGATGCACTGATCCACTTTTTTCACATATTTCACAATATTGATATAGATATATGAGGTCTACTGTCGACTGATACTGAACTGACTTAAAATGTTTCATTTTTAAAACCCACAGATCTAAATGTACTGAATTACAAATGTATCTGCACCAGTACAGCACACTAAATACACCAATAATTTGGTCAAACAAGTAAAAACTACACAACTTTAGTTCAGTCAGTGCAAACAGAAGAATAACAACCAATGTAAAATAAATAATAAAGAAAATGAAACTAACAAAACAATAGGTTGACTGTCTTGATCAAACATGTAAAAACAAACAGAAAACCCTTCTTTCAAATGGTATAGAAATTGTAATTATGAATCCTAAATATAATTAAAAATAAATAATAAGGCATCATGTTGCTCAGAGCACAAAGCACAGATTTAGGCTGAATAGATCTGCCATTATGGATTTGTAACATTGTCACAGATTCCTGATCTAGATTTTTCTTCAAAATCGAGACAGATACAGATCATAATATCAGATCGGTGCATCTCTAAATATATTAGACTATATTAATAGATTAGTCCAGAACTGTGGTGATGTAGTGATCCGGCAGGATGTTGCATCAGATCTGAGTGATGCTGGTTGGAGTTAAGAAAGTGAATTTCCAAACTGCATTTCTTCAAAATGTGACTCGTGGAGAGCTTGTTTTCTTGCACCATTGGTAGTTGAGCAACCTTTTCTGTCAGCATCTTAAGCTGATGCAGTTTTGAGCCAAAACCCAGGCAGAGACACACCCTGATCCCCAGTACAGGAAACCTTTACCTGAAAAACCTCCCAGCACCGTCCTGACTCCACTCCCTCCCCACGGATCAGACTCCAGCTGGTTCCACCAGAAAACCACTGGACTCTCCCTGGGTCTCTTTTTCTAAAGGCACCACTGATTCCCTCTGTTTTTAATTAAACTACTAGGATTAACAGAGAAAACTGGTTTTAAACAATAGAGCCGTGTCAGAATCAGAGGATATGCTTCATCGCTGGATTAGCTCTTTTCTTGTCAGCCTGGATGTTGCAGTAATTACTCACTGACTTACTCCAGCATGCAAATTCCCACTCCCATGGAATTTAACATTTATCCTGCAACAACCAGCAAAAACCCATTAAACAGGAATTAATTATGCTGTTGGAAGAAGAGAAGAGAGGAGAATTGTAATTATGTGGAAAGAAATTATGAGCTCCTAACTGCAGAAACATTTCCCTTTGTTAAGTGTTTCTGAATGAAGGTGATGTAAGGATCAAATAATCATCCCTAACAGTCTCACCTGTTAGAGAAGTGAGGGAGATAAGGTGGCACATTTGAAGCAAGTAATTATTTAAGCAGATAATTCTTTTTTTCTTTTTCAATCATGTTATTTTACACATTATTATTGACACTTCTGTGAATAGTAGCAGCTTAAAATAGCTTTTTAGGGTTAGCCAGGTGAGAAGGTTTTCTTTCAGTAAAGGTCATGAACTCTAACAGTTCATGGAGGTAAACACACCCTGTGGAATGATTTTATGAACTGTCATGTTTCAGCCTTTCTTATTAAGCAAACAGCGGCTGACTCATTACAGAGGAAGCTTTCCTTATAATTACCAATAATACCAATAAACAATATTATAAGGAACATCAAATAATATATTGCCACAACTGATCGTGTCATGATTGGAATAAAATGTTTTTTCATTGGTCCGATGTAACATTCTTCTCTTGAATGTGTTTTTTACCTTAACAGCTCCAGTCTGTTAAGGTTGGAGCTGTTAAGGTAAATCCAAAATGGCTGCCGCAGTCATAAAGCATGGTGAAATTTGCTGTGATTCGTCAGTGTCCATGTTCTGCATGTGCTGCTGCGCCTCTCCAGATTACTTGGCATTTTAAAGCAAAATCTGTCATTTATGCTTCAACAAAGATAAATTTACTATTTTGCAGGGTTACAAAAATACTGCCTCCTGCTGGCCTGCATGTACACTACATTGTCTCCAGTCCTGTTTGTGTTTTCATCTGTGTAATCAGTGTTATATGAACACATTTTTTTCCGGATACACAATGGAAAACATTTTTGGAAACATTCTTATGTATACAGGGCTTAAGTTTAAGATTTCTTGCTAACCAAAGCTGAACCTTCTGCAAAATCAGTGTCTCAGTAGGTTTTTATTGTATTACTTCAAAATTAAGGCAACTGGAAGAAAAGTTGCTCCCAGTTGATGGGGGAGAATCAGTGGTTACCACCAACCTTTAAATCTGAGAAGATTAATTTCTCAGAATTTTAGTTTTGTTTGTACAGAGCAATCTAAGCAAAGCCGACCAACCAAACGGATCACAGATCAACAGTTGTTCTGTTCTAACTGAACCCAAAGGTCCAGCTTTTCAAGTTCCTGATTTCTGCTCTCCTAAAGTTAGATACGGAAGAGAATTAGGGCCACTGGGGGAAAAAATTAAATAAAATGTTTTTTTCAAGAATTCTGACTTTTTTTCAGAATTCTGACATTTTTTCCAGCGGCCCTTTTCCTCTTCCATTGCTAAAGATATCAAACAGAAGATGTAAAATCACCTGCATGTCAGAGTTTGTTTAGACAGTGACATGCAAATAAGCTCCAACATGTCATGAGCCTCGCTGCAGTGGAAATGATGTGAAAGTAAAAACAGCTTAACTACAACTTCCTCTTTGCTCTGACCTTTGACATGTAAAACCGACTAACGCGGCTGTTCTCAGGTACTACAGGGGGGCGGTTGGAGCTCTGCTGGTCTATGACATCACCAAACATCTGACCTATGAGAGCGTGGAGCGCTGGCTGAAGGAGCTGTACGACCACGCTGACCCCCACATCGTGGTGATGTTGGTGGGCAACAAGACTGACTTGGAGTCAGAGAGATCTGTTCCCACTGAGGAGGCCAAAGACTTTGCAGGTGGAAACTTGATGATGTCATGACGTTCAAAGATCACATGTGAGATTCTGCAGCGTATGACTCAATCTCATAAAATGTCCTCCGATGATCTTTTTCTCTAGAAAAGAAAGGTCTGTTGTTCCTGGAAACCTCGGCCTTGCAGTCGACTAACGTGGAAGCAGCATTCAACAAAGTCTTGGAAGGTAAATTATCAGTTTTAATTTATTTTTTCATTTTACATACAACAAATTGTCATGTGTCTGAATCACTTCCCTTAGTTACTTCTGCTGGAATGATTGTAAAGACTGTTTATGGTACTGTAAAATAGTTGTTAGTCATAATCATCTTACCTGTAGTAGATGACTATCTGCTGTGCTACTGTCTATGACATACTGACTACTCACAGGTACTCCACAGAAGCTCTATTTTAAAAAAATAAACTGGCTGTGCTTTAAATATTCAAGATATATAATTTTTGTCACACAGAGATTCATAAAAAGGTGAACAGCAAAGAAGTGGTGCGAGGGTCCATAAACGCCGTGACCCTGAACAGCTCCAGAGCAGAAAGCCAGGAGGAGGAGAAGAAGCCGTGCTGCAAGAACATCTGAACCCAAATGTCCCTCTGGGGGCCGCAGGGGGCCACCTGCAGCGCCGGGCTGAGGCTGGCCAGAGACTGAGACTCCACATGACGAAACAAACGGCTCCGTTCAGTGAAGCGACTTGTTTCTCAGCTGCACAGGTTTAAAACATGAAACCAGCACCAAGCTTCCATTCTGGAACAAAGGTCAACACTGAAACACGGAACGGACCTTTGAGACTATCTGTGGTGGGAAGTTGAAGCATTTATATATATGTATATGTACAGTTTAAATGAGAGATGATATCTGACTGATGAAGAGCTCCCAGCTGCTCGATGATGATGATGATGATGATGATGATGATGATGATGATAATGATGTGTGTTTTGAGTCCTGACCTCAGCGATCAGAATGTACTGCAGCTGATTACTCTGACTGTGTTTTAGTGAGAAATAAATATTTATGTAGATTCATTATTGGTGCCTTATAACCAGAAATGTCTTACATTTTAGAAGAAGAGAGCAGCTACAGATGTTAATTTAGTTGTTCTCTTTTTCTGACTCAAGTAAAAAACAAGTAGAAGTTGGCCAACTTTGTGTTGTCTAAACATGACAGCAGGACATTTCCAGGAATCACTGTAATGCGAGTCCCAAAGTACGTCACGTTTATAGGGCAAAACGATTCAGTATCAGCAACATAATAATAAACAAACATAATAGTCCTGAAGACCCTGAATGTGAGTTATTTTGAGCTTTCTAGTTCTGATTTCATGGGATTTTCTGCAGTGAAACCTGAGATTAATAAATAACAGATGTTCTCAAATGTTGTTAAATTTTTCCATTCTACTCCAGGTTACATTGGTGATCTATTGTTTCCATTTCAGTCAAAAGTAGTCATTTATTTTGGGCTTAACACCTGCTATCAGGGGCAGCGTAGAGTTGAATGGGGCCCTGAGCAGAATTTCATTTGGGGCCCCTCATGACCACCACTAACAGTTTTTATCCATATTTGGTGTAAATCTGGGAGATGGAGTGAAGTTAAACTAACTGAAACCAAACAGGCATAACTGGTTAATATTTGCTGAGAAATATTTGTGAACAAACTGAAGCTCAAACTCAAATACTAGACAAACTCTAGCATTAGATTGTAAATATGCTAGCAAAACAATAAAAATACTTTTATTCTTAAAGGGTCAGTATTATTTAAAATGTAAATTTTTTTAGTTTTACATCATGTTATAATGTTATTCTCACTTCAAAAACATCCCTGGAGTGTTGCTTTGATTCTCTCATGAATTTCAGAAATCATTTTTGATCTCCATGGCAACCATTCAGTGGTGCCAAATGCGGTGCCAATGTCCTTGGTGGATTTAGCTCCGCCTTCGAGGCACAGCTCCTCCTCAGAGCTAGATCTGGTTGTTGTTAAAATTAAACATTTATAGGAGACCCCTGATGGTTTTGTGGCCTTAAAAATCATCAGCCACCTGGCTTGCTTTTGCTTTGGGCTGGCTCTGCCTGATATTGGCCAGTAATGAACTCTGATTCTTCATCAACAGCCATTGTTTCTGAACATGTAGATGGGATTGCAGTGTGAAAAACGTTACAGTAGGCAGTTGGATTCCCAAATACCACTTAAAGCTCTACTGGCTCAATATTCCAGATATTTGCTAGAATAAATTAACTGAAGAGGCAAAGGATGTTTTAGTATTTACTCTTGAAGAGACAACTCATAACAAATTTAATGACAAAAAGCGAACAAAGTCAGCAGAAAACTTTCTAAAACAAGTGCACAATATGTGAGTTATATGAAAGATATTACTAATAATAAACATGTATCAACCCATAAAGCAGCAATAAAATATGCTAAAATAAAATGGAAAGGTAGAAAATAGCTCTGATGTAGATGTAGCACTCGTGTTTGTTTTGACTATTTGACGTTTGATTTTGATTTAAGTACTATCCTGCCCCTTTTAAACAACGAACACCAGCCTTAAAACTCCACCTGTTTATGTTCCTGCAGAGCTCTGTTGCTGCCTCACTCACTCTACGGACCAACGAGCAGCAGTGACACGTATTACTCAGAAATCATACGATCCCGCTGGTTGCCAGTTGGGTCTCACTGCTTTCCAAGCTCACCTGAGGCTTGTTCCTGTATGGCAAGCAATTACAGTATGTAATAAAAACGTTTCTCACAGCAATCAAAAATGACATCGGTAACAATCAGACTTAAAATGAAATATATCTAAAATAGCGCGCATTTTCAATAGAAACAAGGTCCCCTCCTTTGATAATGTTCTAAAATAAGGTTTAAGATACTTACTGTTGCTTGTTTGTTTGTTCAAAAAATATTATTAAATATTATATGAGATATTTAAAAAATATTGTTAAACAACTCTCAGAAAATTAGTTGTGCATTGTAAATATCTCAAATAGTGATAGTTACATTTACGCAGTTAAATTAAGTTGAGTAACTTCTTTGCCGCACTATTATTTCAACTTGTCTCATTTTAATTTGAAGGGAATGTAGAGCAAACAGTATGGTCTTATACAGTTATATAATGTTGTAATGTTAACCACACTATACATTGATTTCAAAGATATAATGTTTTTAAAAAGTAGAAGAGGAAATATTCTACTTTTTGGAGCGTTGTTATTTATTAACTTTTTATCACATTCTTTAACATATGAAAATTTGCACATTATGATCAAACAGTTATGCAGTGGCTTTAATTGTTTTTTTTTCTTTTGTTACACATACTTGAGTAGGTTTTTCCAATAACTAAGCTTCACCTCTGCTTGAGTAAAAGTATATTGAAGTAATCCACCGTCTGAGTATACTTTTTTCACTCTACTCACTTTTGATAGGAAATAATTATCCATAACATTCGTTACAACAAGAATGACATTTGAAATTTTACTTTCATTATAGACGGGAGCAAGGAAGTGCTAAACAGCCGAAATATAAATTTCCGTTTATGTTATGGAGTTCTCATTACTATATGATAACTTCACTTGCTATATTTTACCTGTTGCTGCGCGACGTCATACAAGTTAACAACTGGCAGCTGACTCACAATCGACAGCACAGCTGGCCAATCACGTCGAGGCAAGTAACAACTGTCAAATCCCCATTGACCACTAACAGAGCATGAGGGGCGGGGTTTAGTGTTGACGTTACGTCGCAGTCTCGGTAATGGCAAGTGTAGGAAGGAGAGGAAGACGGCCCTGAAGTTTCTGCTCTTCTGGATGTTGTTGTCATTTTATTACATTTAAAACCTACTGCTTCACTTTTTTTGTACTCTTACGGTTATTTTCCTACTTCGCTGTAGTGAGAGTGAAAACGGGGCAGGGCTAAAGTCACGGACGGTTTTGTCGGTCGTTTTCGAAGTAACTAAAATACGCCCGAAGTTTGTTCGACTTCAAGCAGAGAAACTATGACGCACAAAGAGGACGAATATGATTACCTTTTTAAAGGTGAGTGGTCGTTTCTTCGCTTTTAGCTACCTGGCTAAATGTCAGTTTCACCTGTGTCATTTGATGCCACCGCGGGGATGTCGGTGTCGTAAACCGGAGTACATAACAGCCAGCCGTAGAGACTGGGACACCTGTTTAAGCCTAAACTCTTTTCAGTTTACGTCATTAAATAAAATCAGTGGGTTTACGGGTCATGTAAGGTAGATAATAGGACTCTAATGTCTCACTTTAGGCATCATTTGCTTCAGAGTTCATCATCTTCCAGGGCGATGACGCAATCACCTGGGGATGCAGTGTTGGTCAATGAGGGGTCACAGTCAGATGACCCCTAACTTCTGACAGAGAGAGTCAAGTTTGTTTTGTAGTAAAAGTTTAAAAGTTGTACCATTTGCCTTTAAAAAGTAAAAAATACCAAACCATCCTGTTGGCTTGATTTTGCTGAATTCCTGGATGAATGGATTGATTGATAGATGAGACAAACTCACATCCAGGCTGCAAAATATGTACAAATTTTAGCTTTCTAGGATTTATTTTACAATAGCCTTTTTACTTCCGCATCGTAATCCTTTAAAAATTAAACTAATACAAAAATACAGCTTTGATATGATTTGAATAGGTTATGATTAAAGGAATGCTTTGAATTCCAATACATTATTTTAAATGTTTATTGTATTTATCACACCATTTCATGGTATGATAATGACTTTAAAGACTATCAAAGCTAAAAATATATATATTTTTTTTTTATTTCTGGTGATTTTAATTTGTCATGTTTAAGCAGAAATCTACCAGGTAATTCAGCCTAATCTGCTGAGTTGTTGCCTCACTTGATGTGAGGGCGCAGTACCTGGGGAGGGGCCGCCATTGTTGTAGTCATGGTAGAAGCAGTTAGAGCTCCTCAAAGCCACTTGGAGGTGATTCGCTTGCAGCCTTTTGTCAAAATTTCGAGCAGCTCGTCAAACTGGAAATGCCTGCATGCAGGGTGAGCGTCCACAGAGACGCTGCGCCTCGGAGGAGGGAAGTGATTCAATCAGGTTTTCATGTGACCAAACTAATCTGGATCTCTCCCTGCGGTGCTGGGATCCTGATAAGCACACGGCTGCGGTTCAGAGTTTTGCTTGAATCTAGAAAGTGCTCACATTATTGCCCTTTGTTCTCCTTTTGTGAGTTAAGCAGGGTGAGCTCCTACTGAGTCACTAAGGTATCTCGGACCTTAGCCGTCCTGCTCAACCTCTTTTACTGCTTTTCAGAGGCTGGGGAATATAAACTTCTTCTCTTAAATCGAACATGTAATGACTATCCTTCTTTCTTTCCATTTTTGTGCTATCAGGGGATTTCAGACAGTCCATTAATCTCGGCGAGCAGACAGACTTGCTTTCATTCAGCCGGGCTGCAGAATTGTATTAACAGACAAAGGCCTGTCATGTCTTTGAGCTTAAAAAAAAAACTAATTCAACAATAGGTGTGTGGCTGGGTGTGTAACAGAGCTATGACTCTACCAGTCTGGTGGCATTGGACCGAGGAACAGTTGTGTAATGATTTTTCTCTTCCACCCACAGTCGTTTGTGTGAGATGAAACAGAACATGATGGTTTTACTGTCATCATATGACTCCCACATAAACCAAATTAAAGTTGCTCAGTCACGAACGAGCAGCTTGACTCGGACTGAAGCAGAAACATGGTGGACGGTTGGTTCAACTTTCCCAAACCAACTTCCTGTTTCCCAACTGCAGGGCGGTGGGTCCTCAGACACACTGACTCACCTACTGCTGTGGAAATAGCTGTCTTTAATATTGCCTGCAGGATTTCCCTCATTGTATTATAAGCCTGGCGGGCCACCAGGCTTTGCTTTCCCCACCAGGCTGAGCATAATTTATTTATAATAGTTTTATTTTTTTATTACCTGCGTAAGCACTTCCTGTCTTTACTGGTCTACACACTGACAACTGAAGCAAATAAAGTGACAAGTCACAGATAAAGAATCAGCAAATTTGGACTTGTTAATTCGGATGCAACAACTGAAGTTCAGAAAATATTGTCTTTTTTAAGACTTTATAGTTGGTGTTTAGGTATTGTTAATTGTCTTGCAATATAATAATTACTTGGTGGTATTTTCAAATTTCCAGTCAACTCTAAACATTTTTTAACTGAAAAACACATTAAGTCGCTGGATGATCGCCATAGGCCCCCCTACCACCGGGCTTAGCAAGTTTTCTGGGGGGAACATTGGCCTGATTCAGTTTACTGTCAAATATCCAGGGTGGATTCAGTCACAGTGGGATTTAAAGGAGAGGGAGAACCTTAACGGAGGTTCTGGGAGGGGTCATGACCTCTCTGACTACAGTGGAGGTCATGACCTCTCTGAGGTCACTACAGTGGAAGTCGTGTCTCATTATCATCAGTAAAACCAATGGGCGAAAAATAATAAAATGTTTTTCCATTTCTTCTCTGTGATGTTTGTCAGGGTTGATGGGTTTTTAATGACTCTGCACAGCAACACAAGGAGACGAAACAAAACTGGCCCCATGATTTATTATTTAATAGAACAATATTTATCATATGTTGCAGATTCTCCATATCTACTTTATCATTTTAATTCTCTTCTGGTTTCCTTCCTCCTTCTCTACTATAGTTTATTACAGCATAGCTGTTTATAATAAGCTGTGAAAACTAAAATATTCCTGTTCACTCCTCCACCATTAGTAGATATTTTACTATCATCATTATTTTATTTCAACCCAGAATGTTTATTAAACATATTCATGGTATAAATATATGAACAAGCTGCTAAAATACATAGATTTAAAAGCACATCTTTCTGTCACAAGGCTCAAATAGAGAAATTTGGATATTATTTTTTTTTATTGTGTGGTTTTTATATTTATCTCAATCCAGATTCAGAGTAAAAACTTAGACTCTGAGATGGCATCTGTTTCAATTCAAGCCTTATGAACCAATAAAATAAACAATAAAATATTCATAAATAATATTACTTTTTAGAAATTGTCATAATTTAAACACTGAATTTACATAAAATTAGCAGGACTTCATGATTTAAAAATGAGACTCTCAAAGTCCATCATGTTGTAGCATAATAATCACCTTCTTAGCACTTAAATATAGAAACAAACAGCAGCAATTTAAGGTTAAAAAGTTCATAGCCTTGTTTTATTGTTTCCAGGGTTACTGGACACGGTCACGTGATCAGTTTCATCCTTGTTATGTAAAGTAGTTTCCTCCTGAGTTTCTCTACCTCTGAATCTGGTTGTTAGTTTTGTGGTTTTGCTTTTTTACCTGCAGCATCCATGAAACGGATCATAAATAATGAACACGGCCTGTTAACGCTCCTGTTTTCCCTGCAGTGGTGCTGATCGGCGATTCAGGCGTAGGAAAGAGTAACCTGCTGTCCCGCTTCACCCGCAACGAGTTCAACCTGGAGAGCAAGAGCACCATCGGGGTGGAGTTCGCCACACGCAGCATCCAGGTGGAGGGGAAGACCATCAAGGCCCAGATCTGGGACACGGCGGGACAGGAACGCTACAGAGCCATCACTTCTGCGTGAGTTCCCCCATCCAGTTCGCTCTGCTCTCTGCACATGCAAACAGACAGAACTACATGCCACAGGAAGTAAGAAGTCGAGTGGCGCTGCATTGTGTTTGTGTGAAACACCAAAAGAAAGATGTTCTCATAAAGTACACCAGCATGTCAGGGCAGTTGTAGGTAGGAAAAAATAAAGAGTACATATCTGTCAAAAAAAACTTAAGAAATTTTGAAATCAGTCTCTAATTCTCTAGAAGTAACATTCAAATTTCTGATTTAGAGAAGCTTTAAATTTGCCAAAAAAAAAACTCAAAAATTTTGAGATTAACATCGACAGAAAAAGGAGTAAGTGTCCGCCAAAAAATCTCTGAAATTTTCTAGAAAAAACAAGGAAATTTTAGTTTGAAAAGTCAAAGATTTGCTAGAAAAAGTCAGAATATAATGGAGAATAAATGTCATGAATTATTCTCTATTAAACATGAAATCAAAGCGGCGTGACAGTGCTTGTGACCCTCTGACCTCAGGTACTACCGCGGCGCCGTGGGAGCGCTCCTGGTCTACGACATCGCCAAGCACCTGACGTACGAAAACGCAGAGCGCTGGCTGAAGGAGCTGCAGGACCACGCAGACAGCAACATAGTCATCATGTTGGTGGGCAACAAGAGTGACCTGCGCCACCTGAGGGCGGTGCCCACCGACGAGGCCAAGGGCTTCGCAGGTTCGCCGCCTCATCAACCTTTTATTGGCTCCTCATTAGCTTAGCCTGATAAGAAGCTCATTAAAACCCGATTAGGCTTTATTCTGTCAGCTCATTAGGCTCTGTCACTGATACTGAAAATAATAGATGTTCAACACTTTGACCTGGTTCTGTTTGGGCCTTTTCTTCTCTGAAAGCAGCAGTCTGTGTCATATTTAGTTATTTTGAGGAATCAAAAGCATCAAAGTAAAACACGTTTTACCAGATTATTGGTGTAACTTGTATAAATCTGCTCTTTTTTAGCTTGTCTGGGTTCTTTGCTGATAAAAGACTCGGCAGAGCTGAATGCCAGAAAGTTAAAGGCACAAATCCTGTTGATTCAGAGCAGCATAAAGAGAATCCTTGAGGATAAAAGAAGCCGTCTCTGAGTCAGACATGGCTGTTTGTAGAAATGCTTGTTTTTTCTTTATTCCACTGACCTAATTTATGTCTTGTTTACATAATGATCCCAACCTGGAAGCATCAATGCAAAGCAGCGCTGCCAGTTGGCAGAAACAAACCTCTTGCTTCATTCTGTCTGATTTTATTCAGATTGTGTAAAATAAAATACGTCACCTTGATTAACACATTTTACCATCCGATCATTAACCACGCTAATGCTCCGACCAGTTAGTTTCCAAAATGTTGAACTTGTATAGATTTTCTCACATTCATGTTTCAGTTTTCAATTCTCCATCTACTGGCATTTTGTTCTTGTTGAAGCACGTTAGATCTTTGTTGGATGGTGATGCTGTGGGCAGGAAGGATCTCCAGTAGCAGTCAGCCTCGCAACAAATCTGACGAGGCCTCTGACTGAAGACTGCTGCTGTGTGACGGTCTCATGACTGCATACTAACGGCTCAGTATCCGGGCAGCAACACGTCCTGGATGACTCATCAGTTGTTGGCTAGCACTGCTAATCCACCTCATTTGCTTTTGCTGCTTCTCTTTAAATCTCTGTCTGGCCGTTTGATTAGGAAGATGTTGGAGTAGGGGATACAATTCTTGCCTGTAATGATGGAGGAGATGCTTTGAACGTTCTGCTTCTCTCTCTGGGATTTCAGGGTCAGAGTTCAGGTATTATTTCAGCTAAAGAAAAGGATTTAAAACGGATTATGACATTAACTAATAATATCTATGCTTATAAAATAAAAATGACACGAACCCAAACAGTTACAGAACGTACCACTTGGTTGCAGTAGAGATGTGCAAAAAGTCTCAACATTTATTTAATTATTGAGATAATTTAGCCTGAATTTCAAACATATAAATGAATCCAGCCTTTTTATTAGAATTTATTCAGTGGGAAAAATGTCATGTTAATAAAGTAAAGCAAAATCTTTGCATGGCACACTTGCTTTCAACAACTCTTTGTTGTGTTTTTAGAAGAACAAGATGGTTTCCTGTGGGGACAGTAGATCAGAATCTGTGAGGAAATTTAAAGTGAATATTAATATTTGTGTAACGTACTGTGTTTGTGTTCTCCAGAGAAGAACGGCTTGTCTTTCCTGGAGACGTCTGCGTTAGACTCCTCCAACGTTGAGCTGGCTTTTCAGACAATTCTCACAGGTGAGTTCCACTTCCTGCTCTACAATTAAACCAAATTTTAACAGTAAAAAACATTTAACATTAAAAGAATCGGCAGAACTTTTCCATGTGTTCATTAAGCGACGACAAAACATCTCTTAAGCAGTTCCATTTATGTAGTTTCTCACTTCAGCCACTGGATGGCAGAAAATTCCACTGAATCAGGTGTTGGCCTCCATCCTTTATGTGCATCCTGTTGCAAAACCTCCTGAATCTTCCTTTTAATTTAAAAAAATGAGTAATTTCTGCAGCCAGTCAGAGGCTAAATAAAGATCCATCCATGTTTTCTGATGTAAGCATATCTGAGCAGACTCCTCAGGAGGTTCAAGGCCGCACTGGTGACTTCATAACAACCTCTGAGTGGCCTGAAGGGGGAATCCAGCCTGAATCAGTCTGCATGTGGCACCTGCTGTTTGTATGCTGCTTCAGCTCCATGTTGGATCCAGCAGCGACTCCGCTTCAGGCACACCACAGACATATCGCTTATTTCTAACTCTCAAAAAAAAAAACTTCAAACCAACATCGAGTTAGCGCTGCTAATTAGCTCATTAAGGCAGGGAAAGCAGTGCATCAGCAAGCCAGTAAGGCGCAGAGCCGCCATGGCTCATGTAGCGATGTGGAGAGGGTCGTCCTGGTGGCTTATTGTCCGTACTGTCATGCTGCGATGAGTCATGCTTCTCACAGTTTTCTCGCTTCACACCGGACTTTTATTTCAGGACAACTTTGGAGAAGTGTCTGAATGCAGCAGTGAGTCGGTGATGATTTCAGATTCCTGTTGAGTCAACAAACGAATCTCAGTTCAACTAAACAACGTAAATATGTTAGTTTGATCTGCAGAAGGATTCAGACCCACTAAACCTGGATAAACATAGGCCTGTCACAATAACACGGCTTTCTGGATCATACATTTTCACAGAGACCATTTTCAAGTAATATAATGGTAATGGAATAATAATGCAAGAACACATTCTCAAAGATCAATACAATTTTAAATCGACTGAACATTCAACACTGAAGCTGGAAAACATTTCAAATATTAAAAATAAATAAAAACAGAAACAACAAATAAAATGAATTTAGACTCTAAACAAAATTGTCTTTCAGAAGAAGGGCTGTTTGAGATCAAAGCACCAGCCTGAAGATTTTATCACCTAGACTTTTATAAAGAGAAAAACGATAAATTAGGCAAATGGAAATTATTTAGTTTGTTTTAATTTATCATGAAATTAATTGATTTATTGCTTGGCAACAGGCTGACCTGTCACAATAGCAAATTTTGCTGGGTAATTTGTTGTCCCAGAAATTATTGCGATAAATTATATTATCGTTTTGAGACCATTGTTGACTAACAGTAGCTTCGTTTCTATTACAATGTCTGGAAAACTTTGTGTATATACTGATGTGGAAAAATTACAATTTTGCAATTGTGGTGTTAAGAAACATAATAATAATCATTTGTGAATAAGCTTGTCCAAACTATAAATCATTGAAAAACATGCCGCGTTGAAATTCTCCAACTACTTCCTGTCGTCGTCTTCTTCTTCATGGTTTGCACCAGTGGCAACATCCAGTTGTTGATCATGTGACTCTTGATGTGAAAAATGTTTTTCTTGTTGCAGTTTTGTGAAATAAACCACATCATCTGAGCGCCAATATTTAAAACAATTCTATAATGTTCCATACTTCATCAAATTTCATCAGTTTATCTTTAAACAAAAACAGGTTTGTGCATAACATTCTGTAACTTAAATTACCTGTGTTTGGCTAGCTTAGCCATTTGGCTTTTTCCTAAAGGAAAAAAAAAAATATATATATATATATATATATATATATATATATATATATAATTTTACAAAAACATTAAGCGGACTAAAATCCACTTTTGAGCATTTTGAATTGATTCAGAATTACCAGGACAAGAAGATACGACTATCTATTAACTAGTAACATAAAAATGGCATAATAATGAAAGTACACAGGAATCCTCTCAAGGATAAATAAACTCATTTCCAAAGAACATTTAACACAGAAACTGGAAGACATTTTAAATATCCAAAATAAATAAACCAAAAACAAGTAAAATGGATTATGAAGTCTCTGTAAACAAACTTGCCCTTCAAAATATATTAATCATTTGCCTCAGACAGGAAAAACAGGCAAAACTGCCAGCTAGGACTTTTGTAGGGGAAAAAGAGTGTAAACTGTACTAACTACTGTGTAAATGATGCTGGCTTCTTAACGAGATTAAAGGGCAGCGTCTCTTCAGCAATTAAGCAAACTGTCTTGGTGTGCACCATTCTGCTCTGGCCTTTTCCATTTAGTTTGACGATTAGACGCCCCAGTGGTTGCGTTCTGCCAGGGAGACACAGACAGCCCATCGGTGGGAATGTTTTAGTTCTTCTGAGCTTGGAAACCTGCATCGGAGGATTTCAGGTGAAGACGCGCGTTTGTTGTATTGCCGCATTTAGTTACTTCTGTTTTACAACAAACGCAACATACCAGATTAATTAACCAACTTCGAGTGGGAGGAAAATGATACATGCTCAGTTAGTCTGGATGGAGAAAGAGTTAAAATATCCATTTCCAATTGCTTTCAGAGAATTATAGTTAAATTTTGGTGTGGACTTTGACTGGACCACCTAAACACATGAAAATACTTTGATCTAAACCATCCAGCACAGCTCAGGTTGGGGTCATCCTGTTGGAATCTTACCTGATCAGCTTTCATGTCTCTTTTAAAGAAAATCCTCTGCACAGCATGATGCTGCCTCCACCATGTTTCATGGTGTTATTTTGGTCTGCTACCACATTACTGCTGACTATCTTTAAAATGGATTTCTTTGGGTTTTCTTCTTGTCATCATTAAATGAAAGCGGGGTTGAATGCAAACGGACTGGAAACAGGAAGTGGACTACAACAGAAGGCATTCTGAGTAAATGGAACCAAAACAAATGCACAAGATAAAACCTACTTCCGTTAAAATCTGACTTTTGTTTACATTTGGTGAAGAAGAAAGTTGCACTCGGTGTCTTCATCAGAGGTTTTTGTGTCGTTTCCTTCAGTGGTTCTTGGCGCAGCGCCCCCAGAGGTGAGGAGGTGAACAGGTTTGGTTCGTTTGAGACAGTGCAGGGTGAAAGGGAACCACAGCAGCAAGTGTTACAATTTTAATTTGGGGTATCAGAGTAAAGGGGGTCGAGTACAAATGGATGCAACAGTTTAGAGATTTTGACTTTCAAAACAAAGCAAATTGAGTTGAAGATTATGTGCTTCTTTAATTAAAACATCAAATTAGGTCTGGACAAAAGGGCTGATAAACTTATGATATAAGCATTTCATATCAATCGACATCAATAATTGTCTATTGGAAATTAATTAGTTTTAAATATCTGAGATGCTGCTGAACTGGTGACCTTCCCTGTTTTATCCACAGTTTTCACTCTGTGCTGTTTTTTTTTTTTTTTAATGCAGTTATGAGGCAAACTGATGCTGCGCAAGTTACTCAGTAGGATGTTGCTAGGTAACCAAAGAATGAGTTCGTTGCTAGGCAACCGAAGAGTTAGTTGATGCCACCAACCTGACTTATCAGGTTCAACAGCCAAATACTTTCCTACATCTCCCAGAATGCTGCGCGGTTCTGGGTCAAAGTTCAGTGAATATCCTATATCATCACCTTCCTAAAATGAAGTGATTTATTTATTTCTTTTTTCAAAAATCAAAATTAAGGCGAAAAAGTTAAAGAAGTCTTTCTGTTTTTGCATCACCCTGCATGTATCTATTTAATGCCCTGCTTCGTGTTTAAATGAGGATTCTTCCACATGACGGAGCGTTGCCGGTTCAGGGCGGAAGAATCCGTCTCTGCTGCCAGGAGTCTGGAAGCAACCGTTGTTGTTCAGTTTCGCCGTCCTGATCCCAAAGTGTCCCGCTGCCTGTCCCGTCTCTCACCGCCCTCTGTCCTCCGCAGCCATCTACCACATCGTGTCCCAGAGGCAGATGACGGGCCAGGGCAACTCAGACTTCTCTCCGGCCTCCAACGTGGTTCCCATCACGGTGGAGCCCACCCAGAGCTCGTCCAGTAAGGGCGCCTGCTGCCAGAACAACTGAGACCTCGCCGCTGACCTCCGCCTTCGTCTCAGCGCAGCGCCGGCCGGCCAGACGGGCAGACGGAGGCGCTGACGGGTAGAGGGACGCTTCCACTGGGTTTTGTAGATACGAGGGGTGGGGGGGGGCAGCAAATGAAGGATGGACAGGATGTGATGTGGGAGGGTTGGGATTTTATAAGAAGCTGCATCATCACCATGGATTCAGGTTCTGATGTGAAACTGAACATGCTATCAGGCCCTTTTTTCTCCTTCTTCTTCTGCAGTTTCTCTCCTAAAAAGCCGGATTTTACAGGCTTCCTTTCTGTTTCTCACTCCTGGGATGCTGGGCTGTAAAAATCCACTCCCAGAAGACTGAAAAGCAGCCTTCTCTCACTGCTGTTTCCCTTCGTTTTTCTGGAATATTTAGAAAATTATGTCCTCCTTTATATTTATTAACACTTGTCTTGTTTGGCCAAAGGGTTTCCCACACTAACTGCTTCACAGAAAAAAGGGATTTTCTCTTCTTTTGATTGTTTTCTGTCATTTAAAACAAGTCTTTCCATGAAGGAATCAGGAGAGTTTGGCTCTATTCTTCCCTGTCGGTGACAAGCAGCTTCGCTCTGAGTGCTTTTGATCTTTGTTTGGGCGCCTCTCCTACTCTTCACACACTTTGTGCTTCGAAGATGAGTCATGCTCCCGCCAGCCTCTGCGCAGCGTCGACTCTAAATGGGATGGGATGGCTGCGCCCGCCGCCGCTGCTGGATGGGTTAACTGCAGAGCATGTCAGCTCCCATCCTGACCGTTTCACCTTTTCCCCCCTAAAGCCTCGCGGCGATGGAGGGGAAAGATGTGGTTTAAAAGCGCGGACGAGCCGCCCGCTAGCTGGGACGGATGAATGAATGGATGGATTGGATTTCAGGGGATGAGATAGTGAGGCCACTCAGCCCTGCCCTGCTCCTGCGGTCTCTGATGTACAGTGATGGCTTGTTTTACTGTAAATGAAATCCTCCACTGCCTGCTCACCTACTCCTCTCTGGCTCTGCTCTCTGCTGTATGTAACTGGAAGAGGACTCTGCCTTCTGGGATCCCCCTGAGGTCTGCCCTCACTTTCACTCGTCTTTATTTCCTGTCCGATCGGTGGGGGTTGTGTTCAGGAGCCAGGGCCGCGTTTGTTAGCGTCTGATAGTGGAATAGAGGAGGGAGGGAGGGGCTTGATTTAATCCAAAGGTTAGACACACAGGGTGTTTATTTCCACATCAACACGAGTCTTAAACTGGGTGTAGGTCGACATTTTTAAGCCTTTATTCTGTTGTATGTATATTTGGACTGCACATGTATAAATAAATCAGATTTGTTATAGCTCATCTTTTATGTGTCTCCAGTTTTAAAACAACCAGCTCATTATTGACTGTCATACCCTCTAATGTCCAGTGTAATTTAAGATGTTTGCAAAGTGCTGCAGGCTGATATTTTCCCTCTGATTACTGATTATTAAATATTAATCGTCATCATCTACAGATCAATCCAGCCATCAGGACTCTCAGGAAAAAAACACACAATCTGCTTAAACTGGAAATCATTTCCTTTTTGTTTTATTAGAAACATTTACAATACATTTTGAATCTTGAAAAAATAACAAAGAACCAGAACTAACATGGCGCAGATACAATAATAATTATAATAATCATAATAAAAATGTCTCCAAAAATGTAATTCACAAAAAAACATGTGCTATAAGAAATAAACCTGCAATATTTCCTGCCTTGTGAGGGCATGGCACACTGTAACAGAGTTCAGAAACTTTTTTTATCTTTTTTTTTTCCTTTTTCTTTTTTTCCCCATCCATCAACGATCCGCCTCAGAGGGCCGCAGCAGCGGCGCCTCCCTCACTGTTCACAGAGAAACCAGAACCGAACGCCGGCTGCTGCCGGCCCCAAACAACTAATGCACTACAACCACTATTAGACCGGTATGAAACACCTACTGTGCTGGAAAAATTGGAAACGCTACCGAAGACAAACTGTCAGACTGCATCGGCTTCTTTGGAAAAGGGCGGAGTTTCACCAGCGAGCGCCATGTCGGTCCCCAACCGTTCACACGCAGCGGGAAAACCGCGCTCTCCGAGTTTGGGATGCATTTTAACCGTTTCAGGCAGAAGAAGTTTCGTCTCTTGTATAAATGGAAGCGAATTTTTTGCAGCGTAACACATTTTCTAAGTGAGAGGTCAGACATTGGTGCGGGGGACTGAAATGGTCTCCGTCTGGCTCCAAACTCCTTTCGGCTTTTCTAAAGAGACTCCAACTATGAAAATCTACAGCGAAGAAACGGTGCGAGCGTGCCGCCGCGCCGTTTCTCCTGGCTAAGTGACCATACAATATACATGCAAACTAGTACGGTAATGAATCTGGTGTGTTTATGTGTGAGTGTGTGTGTTTGCATTTAGTTACACAGATCTACACAGTGTGCTGGCTCCTCCTCGACTTGCACTTCACCTAATTAACGCATCAGGAAAAGTCGATCAAAAAGGCTTTTTTTTTAAGCCAATCACGCTCCGTTGCCATGGATCGATCAGACTGAGTTGTGGATGTAGGAAATGTGTGAATGAAAGTGTTTACAAGGTGTGTGTGTGTGTGTGTGTGTGTGTGTGCGCGCGCACGTGTGTGTGGCCCTGCTGGGCAAGAGGGTCACAGCTGCCTCATTCACTCCAAGCATTGCAGTTTTTCTTCTTTTACATTTTGATAAGAAAAAAGCGAGTTTAGATTACAGAGGAAATGAGTAATAATGCGTTCAGTCAGTAACATGGGGTCGGGAAGGGCGGGGTTACAGCAAGCAGCACTGCACAAACAATGCTGATGCAAGAAAAAATAGAGTTGAGGCACAAAATCGATGCTCTGTGACTAAAATATCTCCAAATTCTAAAAATATTCTATTTTCTGTAGTTCTTCCGTTGTTAATGCACTGATGTTGCAGTCGTGCATGTCTGAAGTTAAAATTTCAGCTATGGGGAAACTCGCTCCCACCTACTTCATCCACTGTGAAGCACGTGGGCAAAGTGTCCATAACTTTCATAAATAAAACTTCTCCTTTTTAGTTATTAGTAGAAACTGACTTTCCTGTGTTTAGAAATATATTAACTTCTTGTCATTTTAATTAAAAAACAAAATGTCTTGAGGTTACTCATAAATACGTTGCTTCATTTTCCATAAATAACATCCAGATACTGACTTTTTTTCCTCTGCTTTCTATGAAATAATAACCCATGTTAGCAAAATAGATCTGAAAAACTGTAATATGTTTTTTTTATTCATTTTTAAGTTACTTTCTATAAATGCATGTGGAAGAACTCAAATATAGACTACGTCGAAAACCTGTTGCAAATTCCTTCCAAAAAAACTAACTTAAAGCTCACTTGTAAATTGTGAAAAATAAAAAAGGGTGCATTAGTTTATTTTTCCCCCATTTTTTTTTTTTTTTTTTTTACATTCAAATGCATTGCTTGTTCAATGTGTGACTGACAGGTTGGTAGAATTGCTTAAGTGCATCCATTGAAAAATAAGGATTTCCTATCACTCCTTTAAAAGGGTTTCTACAGAAATGCATAAAGACCTTTTTGATATTAAGAGAAGAAAAACATCTACTTTTTACTATAATAGCAACCTTAATACGATATAGTAAATAATACTAACACAAACATAATGTATCACTGAGTTGTCCCACCCTCTGCTGCTGCGCAGGAAGTCCTTACTCCAGGTGAGCTGGACAAATGAAACTTAGATTTTTAGGAGTTAAACTATGTTTCAGTCAGTTAAACTACACAGTAAATATATGATTTTAAACTGATGTTCTCTTTAAGGTCTTAAAGCTTTTATACACTTTAGATATCAGGCTGCTGGATCCTTTTATGAGTTTCTTGATAAATCTTACCTATTGTAATAGTTTTGAGTATCATGCAGGTGAACTAAAAATACAGAATATTTTAAAAACTCGTCATAATGAGTCTGAAGTTTGGATTTGATCTCAATCTGGTTTCAGTTTAATCAAAAATCTTCTTTCAGTGGCTCAAGCAGGTTGGGAAAATTATGTTTTCTAACCTGATTTCTGGGCCAGAATAGTTCTGTTACTGGTGTTTAAATTTACTTTTGGGAGTATTTCAATCTGTAGGATCACTTCTTAATTCAGTAAACTGTAAACAAAAAGGCAGATTATTATGCTAGATTGGTTAAAACGATGTAATAAGTTAGCTCTCTTCTGTTCTTTGGTTAAATCTGACCTTTTTCTTTCAAAGTAAAGAAAAAAATAAATCATCGCGGTGCAAAATAAGGATTAAACGACGGCATCATCCTCATGCCATCAGTCCATCAGAAGCTGTAAACCTTGCCGGACTCTTTAACAAAATAAAAGTCCTGAATATGATTGATACAAACATGATTAAAATCCCAAACTAACCCTGAAGCTGTTCTACACTTTCAGGTCACTAAAAGACAGAAATGCAGCGGGATTATGCTAATAACGAAGGTCAGTTTCTAAACAGAACATTATTCAAAGAGCTGACTCCCAGTATCCTCCTATTATTGCTTTCCTGATAAATAAAAACTGATTTCTTCTATAGGGGCTAAAAGTTCTTAAATATTTGCCTATTTAATTAAGACTGGATACATCAGTGGCTTCATAAAATTCATTCTTACTGTTTATAGTAGTGTCTGCTTATCTATATTTGGATGACATACTTAGTAAATAATATTTCTTACATGTATGGAACTATCTAATATACTAATATAGTCAAAAGGGTGACAGGGCGCATATATAAACATTTTATATCCTAGTTTTTTTTTTTTAAATTTATTCTAAAACATCGACGATGACACTTTGAGATTGTTAAAAAATAATGAAAAACTCACTTTAGGCGGGCCTGCGTCTGGCTCTTCCTAGCTGATACACACACCATATTTACAACACGGTGCCTTCACACGAAGAACACTCCTTAACTTACAGCGTCTAAACCGGGAGAACCTCCAATAAGACATCTTTGTTAAACCAGTGCAAAACTGAAAAGAGGGGAAAAATGATGACATCTCCCAAATTGTCACTACTGAGCACAAGAATCACCAAACCACACAAGAAAAAAAAATGATAGGGAATCCTTATGTGCGTGTCTTTTGGATTGTGAGATAGATTTCACCATCAGCGGTCGGTTTGGTATTAATCAGATGCGCGTGTTTTATAATAAGGTGCTTTGTTCTTTTTTTTTTTTCTTTAAGTCATGTGTTTTTAAAGAGCCTAATGTCCAGAATCCCCCCTAATCCCCACCCGAGCAGTTTGATTCACATTCTTCTTTTCCAAAAATAACTTCTTTACAAAGTTGGTTATTGGGGAGTGGTACTGTATCAAAAGGCCAAAGTTGCTACCTTGTCAGCCAAAGCAATGGCAATATTCCATAAAAAACATTAAGGCAGAAATAAAACAAACAAAAAAATACTAAGTTCAAAGAGCGGGGGTCGTCCCCGCCTCGTTGTGACGCTGAAAGCTTCGGCCAGACCTCTGTGCAATTTCTCCTTCCCTAAAACTCAGTCCTCCTCACAGATTTCTGGGAACTTTCGATGCCAGTCCGGTGCTCTCGCTGGAATCATGCCAGCGGTCACTTCTCCTTCTTCATTTTGTTTCTCTTTTAGAGAAGGGGGCTTTCTGGCCCTGAAGACTGGATTTGTTTTGTTAAAACGAGACCCCCAAATTATTCAGGCCTGCTGGGTCGCCGGTGCCGGCCCACATGTGACAGCAGCTCAACACTCGCTCAAAGACCTGGTGATCAATAGAGCTGCTCGGTCTGCAGGGTTTTTTTTCCTCCTTTTTTTTCTTTTTTTTTTTTTTTGTCTTGAAGTATGCTCCTCCTTCACTCCCTCCCATCATTCAACAGCTTTAATCCCCCAACCCCCCGATCCATTGCTCTAGCCCTCTGAAATCCCCAGGCTGGGGCTAAGGCAGACGCAGCGGGTGTGTAATTTGATTCAGCATGAGTGCTGGTTAAATGGGGCGTTTCCTCTGCCTTCCTGTCAATTACAATAGTCTGATTTCATTGTGAAAGTAACGCGAGTTGGGGGCCGGGGCCGTTCGAGGCGAAGGGCCAGTCGTGGGATGCCCCTTACAGTAGAAACTGTCCCACAGATGGCACCCAAAGAGGGAGATTAACACGGGCCCTCTGTGATATGATCACTAAACGGTTTGCTTTTCATCAACTGGAATAAATACTCCAGGTAACTGGATTATGAATGTCTCTCCTAAACCTCCATTTTATTTCACGGCTGCCAAATGCGGCTAGTGTCTTTCTGTGTCCGTGTGTGTTTTGGGACAAAAGAGTGCACCCCCTCTCCTTGTCCCCGTTTGGGTAAGAAAAGGAGCAGGGGGAAAAAGGAGGGGTTTCCTATTCGCCTAGCTCCCTTCAGTGGTTCGGGGGTCCAGAGTCCCCACACGGTCCGCACCTGGACCAACCCATTTGCCTAATTGTCAATGAGCGAATCCAGGCCGTGTCCGAGCGCTCCGTGGCCCACGCCGGCCGCCACCGAAGGCGCAGACAATACGGCTCAAAAGCAAACGGTCCAACTGTAAGCCCAGCAGCTCCGGTGGAGGGGAGGCATGAAAGCCACTCCCAAAGAAAAGAGAGAAAGAAAGGGGCTAGGCGAGACCTCCAAACTCAGGGTCAGAGCCGCAGCGCGCCGCGAAACACCTGCTCCTGTACAGCTCTGCTAATTACAGGGGGGGACGGAAGGCCCCTCGCAGGAGAAAGGATTAGCAGCCCTGGACTCTGTGTTTTACAGTATCTGCTCCTTTAATCTGCTGCTGCTGATTCAGGAGACGATTCATTCAGCTTCCGTCCAATCCTAAGGTTCTCCGAGGACACGAGAGGGGGGCTCCCGCCTCGTCCTCCATTGTTAGCCGGACGCGGCCAAACGACCGCACGACACAATAAAAGCGTGGTTAAGGTGGCTTTGAGACAAGTCCTTGGGGAATATCAAAAAGGGGCCAACTGGATGGATTCCAAGGCTTTTTGGCCTCGCAAATTAAATCAGCGCTTTAAGCCAACCGAGGAGCCACATGCTTTTCAAGAGCCACGAGCAGCAAAGCATTACCGAGTCTTTTCAACAAACTGCAGTGACCAAAGCGTCACCAACGGCTACCGGACGGAGAATCCCCACCTTTACAGCAGCCCTCATCCTCTCTCTGAATAATATCCATAAAATTCAAGCAGTTTCTATAAATAATTAAAATCCTATCCCTTTTAAATCTGTTTTCTAATGAAATAAAGATTTGCTTCATCTCTTTCTGTATAGATCCCGACTGGAACGAACCCATACACGTTTATCCTTTAGCCAAAATGCTTTGGACCAATTATCCAAACCCACAATCACAGTTTAACTGAAAATGTTTAAGTTCACATCTGCTGCTTTTGAATTTCTCATGGTACGATTTTAACAATCCTGTTTTAGACCAAGATGATTGTAAGGTGCAATAAGTTATTTTTTTATTCCTTCTAGTAACATTGACTTTGTAGGTCAGTCAAGTGCAGATTGGGTTCCTCAACAATCATCTGTTTCCTTCAATAAAACCCACTTTAAGGTAAAAAACAAAAAAATAATCGAAGAATAAAATGTTCACATTACTGTCTACCTCTGCCTACACTGTGATTCATGAATGAAACACAGCAGCAGTCAAAAAACTGAAAATGCAAGGTACTATACTTCTCTTATAAACAAAACTTTTATAAAATATATATGCATATATATATAAAAAGAAAAACTTAAAAATATTTCTTATACTTTTTAGTAAAGCAAGCAGGCCTTCTAAAATATCTGCTTGATTGTTTTTAAATTTTCTGAAAAACAAAAATGTATATAATAATAATGATAATAATAATAGTAATCATAAGAACAGTAAATAATTATTGAAGAAACACTGAGGAAACTAAGGATAAAACGGACGTGGTTCTTTAGGAGAATATCCGGATGGCCTGAGTGACCTGGGTGTGGCACACCGGGCACTCCGGGTGGTTCAGCTCACAGATTCGGATGGCACACTCCATGCAGAACAGGTTGTGGCCACAGGGCACCAAGGCAGCCGTCACTTTGCTCTCAAAGCAGGTCATGCAGTCCCGCACGGTGGCCGGCGGAGAGTCCGGCACCGGCAGGCGGCCCGGGAAGCCGTCCCCGGCCGAGGCAGGCTCGCTGTGGGCGCGGCGAGCCTGGGCGTGAGGCGAGCCGGATACGATGCTGGTGACTGAGTTGTTGGGGGTCCCGCCGCCGCAGGGCTCCGGTAACCCAGGAGAGAGTCTGGTCAGGGGCAGCGGGAGGCCGCCGAAGCTTTTGGAGCGCTGCTGGGTGTAAAAAGACACCTGTTTGGGGTAGTCGGGGTCCCCCCAGCCCTGGGTGCCCTCCGATCCAAAATACGAGCAGGGTTTCTCTCCGGAGCTGGAGAAGTTGCTCTTGTTGTAGATCCCCCCTCCCTCTCCTCCTCCTCCTCCTCCGCTCCCGCCTCCAACCATGGCATCTGAGAAGTTCTGGCGGTAGCTGCTGGTGAGAGGCTTGCGCTGGCCCCCCTGCAGCCCCCACACCTGCTGTAGCCGGCTCTCCAGACCGCCGGTGCTGCCCGCCGGGCTACTTCCACCATTCGGCCCCAGACAGTCGTTCTCGTTGTTGTGGTCATGCAGGCCTCCTGTTCGGAAGGCGATGTGCGCCTCGATCTCCTCGCGGGCGCGCTCAGCATTGCTCGGGGAACCCGTGATCTCGAAGACGGGGTCGCGGTCTCGGCTGGGGGTCACGATGTACGTGCAGGTTTGCTGCTGGATGCGCTTAATGGTGGAGCCCTTAGGCCCCACTACCAGCCCCACGACGCGGTATGGCACTCTCACCTGAATGGTGGTCTGACCCGGCAGAGGCGTGGGCGGGGAGCCGCTGAAGGACACCCCCAGCTTGTTGCGGGAGGCGCGTAGCATGGAGAAGTGCTCTGCAGCAGAGATGATTTCACGACGGGCCAGTGCAACATCTTCCTTCCGGCCAGTGATTAAAAACACAGGCTCCTCTCCTCGAACGGGGGTCTTGATGTAGGTGTTGGTCTTGGCTCGCAGAGCTTTTATCTTACAACCTGAAAAGACACATTTCAGACATTTTTAAGCAAGTCAACAAGACTTTCCTGATAATTACGTAAAAGGATAACTGGTGGAAATCCATCTAATTTAGTTGCGTTGCTCCTGTTGACTGCTTCCACTTATTAATGTTTCACCAGCAAATGATATTCAGACTAATTAGCATGATTTATGAGGTCTCCCACTCCACAGTATTGTTGCTCTGAATCACGGCTCACCAAGGAGAACATGGAGAAGTGTCGATCTGCACAAACGTGGCAGATTTGGTGAACTTTACACTTGCTGCGTTGCTGACCTCTCCTTGAACCTGCGACGCTGTCAACCCAGAGCCACATCGTTTTCGGGCCATTTATATCTCCACATCTGCCTGTTTTTGATCACTGTTTATGAGTTTACCCTATTAAAGTGCTTTTAAGACAGCATCCTGATCTGAGTGAGCGCAGGGTAATGTTCTTTCATTAGATTGCCTGATCTTGTAGTAGGACACAGCAGGATATGCATTGTTTCTGGACGGACTGCCAGGTACATGCGAGGTCAAGAAATGACAGCAGTCCTGCGTATGTCGGCTCCTCATTATGGTGGGCTCCCATGTTTACTGTAACATGCTGCAAGGAGGCCGGTCCAACTCACTGGCTAACCCGGGAAAATCATCGCTAACCGGCGAAACGTCTACTTTCTAACGCCGCCACACAGACCCACTTTGCTCAGGAACACTCACTTCCCGGGAAGTGACTGTACGGAGCGAGGGATGGTGGTGATACTCAGAGGGGTTAGAGCAGCTCGTGCCCCAATTCTGAAAATGCCCTCTAAGGCCACAGCACGGCATTAGGCTAATAAACCCGCTCATGACACAGGGGCTTAAGAAACTATTCAATTCCTTTTCCCAAACTACATCCTAAATTTTAACAAGTACACATTAGTCTCTTAATTAAAGGATTATCAATAAATAAAATAGGCAAGGATGAATTAATCAAGAGCAGAATTAAGGTCACAGGAGACAGATTCACGCTCATGCTGCTAAACTGTAGTGAACGAGGTGATTCAAAACAAAGCCACGCTTCATCAGAGGAGAGGGGCTGCAAGAGCATCGGCTGACAGGAGAGAAAAAATAATCATCCCTTCATGACAGGAAGCTCCAGCTTTACCCAGACACAGTAGGGGGGTGTGACCAAAGAGCCAACCAAAGCAGGCTCACCTCAGTTCCCCCCAAATCAGACAAAAAAAAAAAACACCCCAATCGCTGGTCCTCTCTGTCCGTTAACAGTTATCCCATTAAAATCCAAAACTAACTCTTCAGAGTGAAGAGTGGGAGTTGCAGAGGGAAACAAGGGGCACTCAGCAGCACCGAATCCACAGAATATAATGCAGCGGGGGTTGGGCAGTCTGCAAAAGCAGCTCCTCTGGAACCCTGACGGTGTTACGGACGTCTGGTTCGAGGTAAAGCTGGATTTCAGCGATGGAACCTCACCCACCCTGCAGTCTTTGTGCCTGCTCAGAGCCCAGCCCCCTTCTGGCTCCCCAGCCTGACAGACAGCCATGTGGCTTGGAGGGTGTGCACCGAAATGGGGCTCCACTGCACCGCCAGACCATTCAGCTTCCACTTCCTCAGCCCATCATGGCAGCACCCCCACCAATCAATTCAGAAAACACTCCCCTGCCCCTTCTTCAGGCTTGTCTGCAGAAACTTCTGCAAAAATACTGCTGCAACTTCTGGCTGGGTTCCCCAAATCAATGCCCCCCCTCCTCCTGTTAGATCACACCCCACCCCAGTCACACACCTTTGTTTGACAGCTGTTGTCACTCATCTTCCACTCTTTGTTCAGCAGCAAAAGGAAAACAGGAAAATTAGAATCCCAATCTGCTTTGCTTTGGGATCTAAACTTTCCAACTGCCTGATCTGAAGAGCAAAGAAACAACAACAAGGTGACCACGCTTTCTTTGTCCAATTGTGTCACTGGGCCAGTGCGCAACGTAAACAACAAGCTGGATAATAAAAAAGAGGGGGTTGAAACATCCAGCACTTTTTAAGGCCAGATGACTAATATTTGGTGATGTTGTTGGGTTGAGACGAAAAGACGCCCCCCTCGTCGCCAGCTGCATGTTTTTTTTTGTTTTCTTTGAACAGTCTGGCGCGTCTCAGACGACAAAGGAAGCAGCGCTCTCCTGCTCCACAGCGCGTGTCTGCGCGCTGACATTGATGGCGTGGATGTGGAATCATTCGCCCAGGAGGGAAGGGAGCTTTCTCCCAGTATTTCCCACCCTCTCCACCCCCCTTCCCTCTGCGCAAATACGCTCAAAAAGAGCGAGAAATGAGCGCAAAACAGGCGAGCGGATGGTTTTTGTGGAAAGATGAGAACTTGAAACATTTGAAGCGGAAAAAGAAAAAGTGGGAGGCTGATGCCTCTGAGGAGTAGCTATAAAAAAGGAGCCCACACCACTCCCTTTTCTTTGTCAAATAACACCAGGTAACAGTTGGAGAACAACAAGCGAGCGGCTCAGGGAGGCATGCAGCCTGTTTGAGGGGAAGAAAAGCAGGAAGTTTGTAGGAAATAACGAGCGGGCTGCGGTTTACCTTGCCTCCCCACTATCTCGGCCACATGTTCGGAGCTGGGCACCGGGACGCATTCTGTTATGTTGCAGCCTCGTCCTTTAGTCTCTGCTGAGGAGCTGTCGTACAGGGCGCACAACTTGCTCTTCCCCTGCAGGATGGCCGCGTCCCCGCCGCCCCCGACGCTGTTGGCGTGGTTGTGGTGGTGGTTGTTGTTGTTATTGTTGCTCCGGTCCTGCACTCCTGTTGTCGGGGCTCCGCCGCCGCCGTCCTCGCCTTCCCCGAGCCCCAGCAGCGACAACTGGCCGAGCGCGACCCTGAGGGCACGGGAGTCGTCCTCCTCCTCGTCGGGCGCCACGAGGAGACCTTCGCCGCCGAAGCCGGAGCCGGCCAGATCCCCGCCGTAGCCCCCATTTTTCTCCATGATCCCTGCTAGAACCAGCAGGCTAGGCATGGCTAACAAAAGAGTGTGTGAGACAAAGACAGGGGAAAGAGACTGGAGAAACAGCACCCGTGCCGCCTCCTCCTCCTCCTCACCCCTCCTCCTTCCCTCTTTGCGCTAGACCCTCCCACAGACCGCCCCCCATCTCTTTCCATCCGCCAGACTCGGTACAGTACCGAGCTCCGGCCGTCTGCTCGGTGGATGGGGCCGGGCCGATGCGTTGCTCCACCCAGTCTGGTTTTACACCGACCCCCCCTCCTCCTCTCCTCTCCTCCCTCCGTCCTCAGTGAGACAAAAAACGAGCCTCCCTCCCTCCCTCCGTACCATTCCGTCTCAGGTTCGCTAGCATGTGGCGGCCCACATCCAGCCCTTCTCCTGTGCAGGAAGGAGGAAGCGTTCAGCTCGCCTCCTGCGCCGCATGCAGGCGCAGAAACGCAGCCGCGCTGCGGAGCTGCGGCAGCGCAGCGAGCTGCATATTTATATTTTTGGTGACTTATGTAAGAAGAAGAAGCCATCCAGGATGTAAACAGTCACTTAAACGTTGCAAGGGCAAGCGCGCACATGGTCATCTGCTGGAGAAAAAGATGATGTCAACTCCACGATGATGATGAAGATGTTGATGGTGGTGGGGTGGAAATCAGCAGCAGCTTCCGCGCACACAGAGGGGAGAGTGGGGATTTTAGGAGTGGAGGAGTTAGTGGCGTTTTTATAGAGAAAGAAAAAGCAGAATGAGGTTGGAGGGATGGGATGAGGGGGGTCCGCCCACCTCTGTGTGCTTTGCGGCAGGTCACCGCGCTGTCTCCGGCGCCGCTGCGCATCAGGATGTTATGTATAGGAGGCAGAGCGGGTGTCTGGGCCGGGGAGGAGGTGACGGGGGGGCTGTGCATGAAGAGAAAGGGAGTTGTCAGACAGGCGTTGCAGACCTTATGCGGTGGGGGGAGGGGGGGATGTGGACGTGGTGGGTGGAGTGGGGCATCAGTAAAAGCCCTCGCACATTTCCCGTTTGGGAAAAAAAAAAAGGTTTTGCAGCAGCTCCGCTGAACAAAGAGCCGCGCCGCGTGTTTTTTCCCTCCACAACATGTCCTCCTGAAGCCACCGACCGCATGCTTTAACTGCTCCCGCTAACTGCAGCCCCGCCAATTAAAGTCATCATTAATATAAGCGCATCGGAGCCCAGGACGGAGCCACTTGAACTTGTAATTAAACCCGTAAATCTGCGGCATTTTTTTTTCAATGTATCAAAAGTAAATTTATCAAAAAGAATAAAATCTCCGGGTCAGATTATTGAAGTTGTAAATTGCTGCCAGGCTTGATCATAAAAGCTTTGAGGAAATCACTATGCAGCGCTGAGCAACAACTGATGTCCGTCTTCAGCTTCCTGGGTGTCAGTCTAACTCCAGCCATCTGTCCAGCGTTGCATAAGTCTTTACCTGCAGAGCAAACTCCACCTTTTCTCCGAGGAAACTCTAAAGTTCGTAGCTTCACCTGGATTCAGAAACCGAAACCTCTGTGTGTGAGTGTTTCTACTCAGCCTGTCATTTTTAATACATTATAAGCTTTTTTATTATTATTCCCACAGACACAAAAACACAGTCTGATACGACAGCCGGAGCGCGGCTGCATGAATGTTTTAATATTTCCTTGTGAGGATGACTGTCTGCGTTGTGGTGCCCCGCAGAACGGAGCAGGAATATTATCACACGTTTCCAGTGCTGGAAGTAGAAGCAACGCTGCTGTTGTGATAAGATGGAGCCAGCGAAGGTGGAGCAGGTGTATTTACATGAGTAATCAAAGTCTAGACGCCGCTCACCGGGTGCCAATCAGGAAGAGGGGTTCGTTCCCGGAGGGGGTGCTGCAGATGAGGGCGCTCCGGGGGGATTCAAACCCAAATAATAAAATAACAGAATGAGAGGCTGCGTCCAGCGGGGCTCGCTTCCCCCACCCGGAGGTGAGGCCAGTGGAGTGGGGGGAGAACCTCTGAGGGGTGCGCGGTGTGTCCGAGAGGTCGTGTGGCTCCATTAAAGGGGTCCAGTGGGACTGCAAGGGGCCAGATCAATGGCGGCCATGGATCTGGGATCGTGTTTCCAGCGGGACCGCGGCCCCCTCAGTCGGCCTGGATGTGTGAGTGTTGTTGCACATCATCTTTATGAGCGGTTCTGAAAGGACCACAGCAGGTCTGGTTTCCATTCAGGCCCACTCCCCGTGGGCCTGCGTGTGTGTGTGTGTGTGTGTGTGTGTGTGTGTGTGTTAGCTACAGGATACTGCTGGTGAAACCCAGTCAGGTCATGTTACTTCCACGTTTTTTAAAAAAAAATGTCTGATCTCAACCATCTGCTCGTCGCTTGCTGCCCGTTACTGTTTCCTCTCCTCAAGCTGAACAGTTTCCATTACAAATGAGCGCAAATCTTTGTGCTAATTTAAAAAAAAATAAAAAAAAATTCAGAACTCCAGTATTTCCGTTAAAAGTAGATTAAAATTACCTTTCACCTAAAAAGACTTTAAAAATAATGGTGGTGATGAATGTAGACATTTATATTAGATTAAATTCATAATTCAGCCAATCAGAGGAGACGTCATCATCTTACTCAGCCAGTGGAGCCATAAGCCCCGCCTACTTGGGAGCTGCTACGTATGCGGCGTTTTGGAGAAACTGGAGTTGATTTCCTGAAGAGTTGTTGATTCAGCAACTTTTTATGAACCAGCTGCACATTGTCTGTAAGAAAGAGGAAAAAAACCCTCCTCATTATAATGCTTCCTGTCTTTTTCTTTGTCTTTTCCGCCAGTAGTAACATCCGGCTGATGATCATGTGACTTGTGTGACGTGTAAAACTGTTTCCATTGCAGTTTTGCTAAATACATCTGTTCCGATAAGGCTGGGAAACAAATAATCGGAGCACAGAAACCCATTGTTGTTTTTTTGTTTTTTTTAATTGGCATGTTTCCATTAAGCAAATTTATTTTCCTAATTACAATTTGTCAAATTTTATGGCTAATGGAAACAGTACAAAAGTTCTGCACACATTTGTACTGTGAACACAGATGGTACTGATAGAAACAACGTCTACTGAATTACACTCTGAATTAAATTCCCTAATTTAAATTTTTGTAATTCTATATGCTGCTAGAGAGAGAAATTGCTATTTCCATGCCCGTCTCTTTGTCGAGGAGCTTGTGTAAATATTGCTTTCACCTGTGGACAGTGTCTGGCTTTCAGGAGGACAGACGATACGCTGTAAATGTGTCTGAGAATCCCTGAAGGACGTCCTTTTGACTTCCTCGGCCAGATGTCCCTTTCAGGAGTTGTGGGTGCCCCGCCGTCGCTTGAATGAGGCCTGGCGAGCACAAAGGAAGTGTTGGCTGAGCACCACGTGCTGATGCCACGCTGAAACGGCTCTCTGCGATGATGTAAGTCCTCATGCAAATTGATACCACATCGTGTGCTCATAATCCGCAGAGAGCCTTGAAGTCAATCAGCTGAATAAGTGAGGCACCGGAGGAGGAGGCCGGCTCTTTGTGTGGTCTTTCCCTGATTAAACTCTGATTTGTTTGTGTTGTCATGTTTGGTTTTTTATTTCTTATTTCCAGAGGGAGCAACAGCGATCATAAAAAAAAGCTGCATTGAAGTAGAAGCAAAAGCAGAGAACCTGAACTGACTCAGTTCTGAGAAGTTTCCTGATATTCTGCTGTGATTATTGACCCACAAGCTGCAAAATCCTGGCGGATTAGAGAAGGTTCTGATTTAATATTCTAACAAATATCAGCTGCAGATCAATATTACGCGTTTTCTCCTTGAAAATCCACACTTTTCACTTGTGTTCATTAAATGCAGCAAAACTAAAAACTTGAATAAATGAGTCATTTAGCAGATTCTATTTATTTAAAAAGTCCCAGAATGGTTGGTCTGCTGTTGAACTGGAAGCTCTGACCTCAACCAAACCACCTGCAGAGCATTTTAAAGCTCAAACGAGGTGAGTCTGGATGTCTTACTGCCAGATCAGACCTAAAAGAAACAGGAGAAATCATTAAAATAAAATCACTTTATGCTCTAAGGTTGACGCTTTATTTTGGTCCATGTCCAGATCATCAATGTCCACAGAGGGCGGCTGTGGCAGACTGTGATGAAACGACTGATGAACTGTTCAAATTAGTGGTGGGACTCATTAAAATTGTTAATAGTGTTAATTTCAGGGTGTGTAATTAATCGTATTTTAATTAGAAACCATATATCGACAAAATAAGCAACATTTTCAATTGAAAACCAATTTTTGCTGCTAAATTATTACATAAATACACATATGAGCTCAACAACAAAGATATTTATTGTTTTTAATCTGTTATTTGGGTTATTCAACCACCATATTGGTGCAAAGTGCTTTTATGCTTTCCGGTGTTTCAGAAACACTTGATGATTCATGGATCTTATTTTTAATGCGGACTGTGGACGCTGACGCTAGCGATGCGACGTCGCTAACATCGCATCGCTAATGCGACATTAGCGACTACATGTTTAACATTGAGATGCTATTTTAGCTTTAATAGCTTTGCTGGACAGGCGAAGCACAACTTACACAGAATAATTATTTTCCCAGTGTCCCATCAGGTCGTTTTTAGAAGCGAAAACGAGCTTCGTCTTCCATCGCCGCCGTTGTTTATGGATATCGTTTGTGTGTCAGAAACACAATACAAAGGTTCCGGTTAAAATGGGAAAAAATGTTTCTTCATTCAATGTTTATTCTACATTAATACATTTTGGCACTATACAGATAAAAGTTGCTCTGATTAGATGTAAAACATTTATGAGAATTGGCCGATAAATAAAACTGGGCCGATATTAAAAACTCATGTTTATTTCCACCTGGTTGTCGTCTGATTCTGTGGTGGAGGTCGGTCTCTTTACCGTGATAGTGATGCAGGATTGTGGGTAATTTACCTGAAGCTGAGAAATCAGGTGTGCTTGAAATATAAATATAAGATATATAAATATTAGATATGAATGTCAGCCCAAATTTTCATAATGGTAAATTTCTTAAAATAATATTTAAGCACACAACTTCTACCCATGTATTTTCAGTTTAAGCATTAGTTTGAAATATAATAATAATAATAATAATAATAATAATAATAATAATAATAATAATAATAATACCACTTCAACTGTAATTTTGCATAAAATGCAGAAAAGAAACTGTAAAAAATATATATATCTCACCAGGTATTTTTGGTTTTGTTTCTAGTGTAAATATCTTTGTTCCCCTGAAATAAAACAAAACAAGCAACAACTCAGCAAAATGTAGGAGAGTTTTTTTCAGTTAGTTCTTTAGTTATTGGCAGATTATTTCATTTCTCATATTACAAGTGAGATAATCTGGCATTGGAACTAAAACTTTTTCTCCAGTTTTAAGGATTTATTGTCAGAAAACAAGACATATCTTCCTGAGAAGTTACTTGTAATTTAATACACTTGAAATAAGACAGATGTGCTAGAAACCAGACCAAAACTATTTGGTAAGACTTTATGTTTTTGCAGTGTAAAAGGAATAACTTTGAATTTAAAGACATATCCAAATGAATCTGAAATCTCATGATCCGCAGGTTGAAGACTCTGATGTAGAGTCAGAACATGTGAGAGATATTTATTATTTTTCTGACCAGGTGAGATATTTATGATCCTCCACCTGCTGCAGCCGATGACCAGGAAACGTCTAGCAGGATGTTGTGATCAGGAGAGCTGCTGTCATTTGGGAATATGAGTCAGGTGGGATGACTTCATGGCTTTTTACGGGTATTAGGTCATCTCTTCCCCTCACTTT